GGAACATACCAGCAGAAGCAGACAATCGCCATTTTGATACGAAAACAAGCTTCATTGCCTTGATGGTCTCCGCCGAAAGACGCATTCGTCTTTTGTTAGCCTGCATCTTGGCATATCCCCCAAGCGGCATTTCGTTCAAGGTTACGCATTGTATTTCTCACATCCCCTGCGTGCTACATGTCCAACCCACTCCATCGTCCTTGGCTTGATCCCTCTGCAGTATTCAAGAAACTGGTGGTTTTTATACGACGCCGTGTTTTTCTTGTTCTATCGCTGAGCCGTGGCCTATTTTCATTCTTTAGTCGCAGGCCTGCTGTCCGTATGTGACGGGTGGAAGGACCCACAGCACATCCTGTTCCAACTCGCCAACGCCTGTTTCGTCATATCGTACGCTTCCCCGAGCAGTGTGTACGGCGTCCTCTTCATGCACTCGGCCCTCATATTTGGTAAGCTTTCGTGTCGAATGATCAGGCCTATTACAAGCTTTCGGGCAACAAAGGCCGACATCTGATGTAATAATTTGTCGCATTTCCCGGCAGTAACATCGCACGGCGACAAAACGCAAAATGAACACACGAAAATGAGGAGATTAATGCACCGCGCGTGCGCAGGACAAATCAAAACACTAGAACGTAGCAGTTGTTTCGTGTTAGACGATTATTTTGTAGAATGAGATAAAAAAGCAGGCAGCTAAACTTAAAGCCAGAATCAAAACTGACTCGGGCCATGACGAGTCACTAGGGCACTTTCAAAAAATGCACTGGTTGCTGCTTGTGTGTCTGTCCATACACGTGCAAACTAAAGAAATGCACATTTAAAGCTCTGAACCCAAATGGTAACTACGTATCACCTGGTTTAAAAATCATTAACGCTGAGTGCATTTATGAGGTTCAGTTGAATCTCGTAGTTGGAACTGCGATAATTTCCTTAAATTCAGTTTTAAAGGATATTATTTAGACGGTATTTTGCTTCGAAAGGTTAAAGAAAGTTGTTCCTTTACTTAATTAGACCCGACGTAACCGATACTCGCAATCAGAAATCGACCCTTCGCATCAACAACACGCGAGGATCAGTGTTTGTCTCTGGTCGCCTCTGCTTTCAGGGTTCATGCTGTTTTCCTTCTGGGCATGGAACATCATCTGTGCCCCGGACATATTCTCATGGAACTTCACGTTCATGCTACTCAACATGGGACAGCTGGTGTACATCATCTACCAGCGAAGACCCGTCAAGTTCGACCCTGAACTTGAAGAAGCTTATCAGACGCTGTTCCATCCCTTTAAGGTGCAGTGGTCACCGACACAACCCAAAAGTGGGCCCTGTCAGTTGCTGACAGCTTTGATGCAGAGGAATGCGTGAATTTTACATTTTTCTGAGGACAGACAAAAAATGTTTTAAACATTCAGCAAAGCGCGAAGAACTTCTGGAGTTGATTTTATTGCCTAAACACGCTCACGTGTTTCTCGGTCTCTTACACCATTCTTTTTGCTGTTTTAATAATTTCTCCCAAACTGTGATGTCATTTTGGGATTTTTGCGCCAAAAACGCTCCCAGTGAACCCAGTTTCAAAATTTCGTGCTTTACTTCTTATCTCGGTATCTTTCGTTTTACGTTAAAGGCCGGCATGCAACACGCTTTCGTCAATTGGTGTGTTACTTTTCAGTGCATGTAAGTACATTCTAGATATGTTAATTCAAACGCTGAATGGGAGAAAAATTCTCTTCGTATTTGCTGTTGGAGGCACGGAAGGCATTTCCGCTCGAATCAGTATTTTGGGCTCCATGCTACTTCGTTTGTGGGTACTTCATTTAACGAGGGTTCGTATTTTCAAAAGGTCGCAACTGCCATATTTTGCATCACTAATCACAAATATTTTTGTTATCTCCAAAACAAATGCCACTCTGTAAATGTGTGTGCTAGGTGTCAAGGTTGCTATTCAAGAAGATGGTCGGTTCAGATTTCGCCCAAATCATGTCTCTGCACGCCGGCGAAGCTTACGCGATGCAGAATCTCACGAGGACCGACCGTCTCGGGCTCTTACTTTCAGGAAAGGTGAGTGTTATCGCCCGTTACAGCGACGACGCAGGCCATCTGGGTCTTATCGCTATCCCTCCAGTGCCCCTTAAGATCAAAGGCCGCTCCCGCTGTGCGCGATAGCCCTGACCAAGCAGAGCTAATTAGGGGCCTCTTCTCAGACCCAGCACCGAATTGATCTTTGATAAAGGCAGTTTCGAAGTACAGTCACGTACATTCCTGTGCTTTAATTTTAATGTCTCAGTGAGCGATGAAAACAAATGTACTTAAGCCGAAGCAAAGTGGCCTTTAGAATTATAAATCAGTGTGATAAGGTCCGGCACAGTTGATGTAATTTCCAGCGAGAGTATCATTCATTGCAGAGAATGCATAGGCAAGATATTTTAATCGCTTGGCGAAAGAAATGCTGGTGACTCAGCAATGACAGATTCTGTAGTCCAGTGACTGCAGTCAGGAACAAGTGTCTCAGTCTTCAGATAGGCTACTCAACTGTCGTTTATCAGTCAATGGAAGCTCGATCCGTGCCCCAGGCTTCAGATAGGCTAATCAACTGTCGTTTATCAGTCAATGGAAGGGAAACCAGAAATTACTTCTCAGATTACGATGCAGCCAACAGTGAGATGAGTCACTAAACTTGTCACTTACAACTGTGCAGGTGAACGTGATGTCCGACCATCAGTTTCTTCATCCCATCATGCCTTGCGAATTTATGGACTCTCCAGAGTTTGAGTCCAGTCGTGCTACAACTGACGATAAATTCAAGGTAAGGACATAGTTTATTTACGACTCTAGCTGTTCATTTCAGCGAGGCACAAGTCAACATTCGCAGTGGATGTGGGCTTCTAACTTCGGAACCACCCTGTAATATTTGTGACATCAACAAACTCGACACGAATTTCTAGTGTGAAATAAAACAAATTAGGAAATGTATGCATTGCGCAATAATTCTGACTCGTTCGCAAGAGTCTGACACGCGACCTTCAAGAACGGCAACAGTGACGCCAGAGTTTTCTACACGGAGGATTCCCCACCCCAATCACTTTCGCACGCACAAACGCATGAAGTACTCGTGAGCCTGAGATTGGGTTTACCAGCGGACACCGCAACTAGGTTGGGCGGCGGCTGACGTCTGTCCACTGAATCTCCCTATATTTTGGGCTAATTCTCATTAACAGATTTTAATTGCGTCTGCCTGTAATTCACTTCCCGTACGCTCACAGGTGTATAATTCTCATTAACAGATTTTAATTGATTCTGCCTGCAATTCACTTCCCGTACGCTCACAGGTGTCCATAATTGCGGCCACATCGTGTCGCTACTTGTACTGGCAGAGGTCTTCCCTGGAGTACCTGTTCGTGAAGGAGACGTATCTGGCGACAGTGATCACCACCCTGATCGCCAGGGACATCACCACGAAGCTGTACGCCATGAACAAGAAGGTACGGTTTAAGCGAGAAATGTGGACAAGGCAGAAACATGCTTGCAGCAACGAACCCGGAAAACCCCAAATCCATTCAATATCGTAGTCAGATATTCTCCTCCGGTCTCTGCCTTCCTGGAACTTCACTGAAAGACAAGGTTGCCTTATTACCTACTTCCTTTCACGCATGGCCCTTCTACTACATTACTCCGTTACGAACTTTGGTTTACGCTGTCACAGACACGCACGCAGCTGTTAGATCCTGAAAGTGTAGCAAGAGATAAGGAGAACAAATGAGGACAGCGAAACGCTTCGGTTCTCTTTACTCAAGATTTTATCACTTTGTCGTGCCTTGGACCGCATGCAAATCTGTGATCACGACGACGTGTAGCGTGTAATTTTCATGCAAATTGAACTACGGCTGCGTTCGAACCATTTCACCTGCGCTAATCTTGATAAGCTTTGAAAGCTCCGATGGCACGTGCAATCGCTTAAAGAGGGAAAATTAAAAAAATTCCAGCGTGGGTGTAGTTCAACGGCCTGCACATTCTCGGTAATGTAATTCGTTTCTCGTGATCGGTTGCTGGCGGAATACGATGTGAACTTTCTTACGGCCTTCCTGCTGGGCACCAAAGATTGTAAACCATGAGCTGCTTTAAGGTTCCATCTACTTCCTGTTCTCAAACGCCCTCAGTCCGTATTACCTCCTTGACGCGGGACCAAAGTCAGGCCGTAAAATTTATGCAGTGGGAAGACACAGTGCAACCATTTCTGCCGCAGATCGTGACAGACAAGGGTTCCCATCTAGACATTCGTCTGCCGAGTATTACGTCATCGCTGACGGCAGAATTTAAGAGCCCACCCGGGAATCTGAGGAAGAACACGGTGCTGTCCGGAGTGTATCCAGCGTCTCCTGACTCAGGTAAGGCCCCAACCGCAATTCACTCACTGTCCCAGACTGCAATCGACTGAGGAGGTCTGTTCCTTCTCACAGCCTCCAATTTATCAAACGTCCAACTTTAATATTATCCTCCCATATGCGGATGGGTCTCGCAAGTTCGTTGTGCCTCTCTTTCGTGGTGTCCGACTGTTGTTTTGTGAGGATTTCGCCAATGATGACAGACCCATATAAACGAGGTAACATTGAGGTTTTAGAGCAAGCATTTCATTGAATCTTTACGTTTGTGGATAGCAGACTGTCGATGTGTCCCGGTTCTTGCTTTCTACCTCACAGAAACTTCCTTCTTCGTTGCAGTGTTCAGCAGCCGAGAACGCCTCTGCTCCAAAGAGAACGGAACTGTTCTGCCGAACGGGAGGCTCCTGGAAATGGAGCCCCTGACGGAACTGCCGTCCAACGACGACCTGACTTCAAACAACGGCGTCGAGAGCTGGCTGGAGACGAGCTCCAAGTACCACAGCTGCGAAGTGGTGGACAGCTGAACCCTACGCCACGCCACGCCACTAGTTCATGCAGAGGCAGGCTCTGCTGCTGCTGTACTGTATGTTCGTTTGTACTGTGTAAAGGACAGTGATGAATAAAATATTAAAAAGTACTTCAAATCCGAACTCTGAACGTACAAACGACCACCAACTAACTGTTCATCTGTCGTGTAACACGAAGTTTGGCAATCACGTGATCTGATTGCGTATTCATTTGACCTTGCGACGTAATTCATAAACAAATTTTAATTTTACCTCTAAAATCTTACACGATGAAAAGAGAGTTTACAATTCTAGCACAGACTGTAGGCAGGATATGCATGCAAGAGCACACTAACACGTGACTGAGTTTTCTGATTTGTCTTTTTCGGTACTGACCAGCTGAGCGACTCTGCTCTTTTGAGTTGGTTCGGAACCTTCTACCTCCACCTGCGATGTGGTATGTTTCGTACACAATATTTTACTGCGCAGTCTGAAAATAAGGAACTCGACACATTCAAGCGTTTATAATTTCCTCCTTCCTTTGAAGCAATTCCCCGCTTTGATACAAAAGATCCGTAGCCACTGGCACAAATGCAGAACATTTTTCTACTCAAAATTTGAAGATACTTAATTCTAACATTTTTTTAAAAGAGTACAGCACAGTTACACTTATGCGTCGTCCTAAGGCAAAGTTACTTCGACTTCGTCCAATCACGGTTCACAGCGTGCCCACAGTATGTCGACTGATAATCCCTGTGTGTCAAAGCAGCGAAGAACGTTCATGCGGTTTTCAAACGCCACACGCACTTCGTATTAGTGCATCGCTAAGTTTCCTGACACACTACAGATTTTTATCGCTTAAAAGAAATGCGTAGGACTTCACCAGACATCTGACCCTGGGGTTAGGAAACAGCTGAATTCTGATGGGCGGAAAGAAAACATTACACACGCGCCCCTTGTCACTTTCTTGTTTTAATTCGAAAAAAGTTGGGGGGGGGGGGTGCGTTCAGCGCGGACTCCTTTAAAATCCTAACTCAGACAAAAACTACGGACTCTAAAAATCCTCGTTATACACATACGTGTTTACGTTGCAGCCCCGCGCTAGAAGTGCGTGTGTTATGTATTTGTCTCTCGCTTTACGACACAAAATGGCGAAGACGCTAACTCGTGTGTGTGTGTGTGTGTGGCAGGAGGGGTAGTTGCCCCCAAGCCCCGCGCGCTCCTATTGATCGTGTTCTGCGCTGCTAGGGGGTTTCAATGGCTGGGTGGGGTGCAGTGTTTTCAGTTCGCGTCGGACATCCAACAGATGGATCGCTTCTCTACAACACAGAAAACACTTGAGTTTCCCGTGAATTAACAAAAATGTTCGTGTCTGGGGAGTGACGCTGTATAACCATGAACTGAATATTAAGGTGCCGAAGATGCTGCGACATCTCTGGATTCATCTCAGTCAGTGGAACAACAGGATCTTGACGTAGAATGACGTAATTTCGCCCGGTAAGTAACGTTTCTTGAATTTTGTGCCCTGTCTGGGTAAAGTAATTTATCGACGCAAGAAATTAGAACCCGCGCCTGCATCCAAAAAACAGCTTCCCTGTCCTCTGTCAGCCGTCACATGAAAAATATTCTCACACGGTCCAGGAACCACTGACGTTCATCCAGACACAGAAAATATTTTGAAACGAGCACGCAGTGGCTGCAAACATCGTCCTAATCAGCGTCTCTGAACGGGAAAGACCAGATGGGAGGCGTTGGCGTACGTACGAGGATAATATTAAAACTATGTGAGGGTCTGAGATGGATTGAACTGGCTCAGAAAATGGTTCAGTGGCAGATTCTCGCGAGCATGGCAAAGAACATTTGAATTCGGATAAAGGACGTAGAATTGTTTTGATTGGTCAGCCAAGTGCACACGTGGCAATGCTAATTGCCACACTACAGGCTCTACGACAAGTAAGTGCAGATTTTAATGGTTGCGGACATTTCATTTTACAACTGATTTTTTAATAAACGGGGCGCCCTCCTCCCACTTCGTAAATGTTGTCATTCAGGGCTGCACGGGGCGACGGATTCACAGACAAGGCGTTCAGAAACGTCCGATGTCGACAAATCTGACTCAAACTACACAGAAATAAATTCCAAGAAGATCTTGGCAGATTTTTGGAGTCGTTGCATGCTAACGTGAAGACGGAGGCCAGGCGAAGCCAAGTCGCGCTTAAAGTAAAACTGCAATTGGATAAAACGATTATATGTTTAAATGTCCTGTGCGTGAGGGACACTGAACAAGGCACTGTTTACAGCAGCGGTGTAACGAAAAATCGCTGATTCGGAATTACTGAATTCAAAGGGAAAATGCCACACAGGAACTAAACCATGTTAATGCGTTCATAAGATTCCCATCACAAAAGCCGACAGCCACTGAACAAGGAACACAGCAGGGAATGTTTTATCAAAATTCTAATCAGTGAACAGTAACAGAACTATTTAGCCTATAAATATGCCAAGTAACAAGCGAGCTTTATAAACAAGTGGTCCCAAGTGGGAAAATGTACAAACAAGTCTTGGATTTCTACTTCATCATGGGAAACGTTTTCGCGTGACCTAATGTTGCTCACGCGTTGTGTCAAGGGGCGAAGTAACTTCTCAAAGCTGAACGTAATTAGGAAGCATTAATTACGGATGATGACAGAAACACGGACGGGTGGACCAGCAGAGATTCCAGTTCAGGAATTGGAACTCAAAGGCCATCATACGATTCTGCTGCCCTCAAAATTGGGGGGGGGGGTTTACCCCTAACCCATGCCCCTCCCCCAATTACGCTACCGTTCAGATGAAACTTAAAACTCATTTTCTGCGTGGTAGTGAAGAACTCTAATCTCTGTACTCGCCACTTCACTGTCATCACTTTAGTCTGCAAATTAATAAGTAACATTCGTATGCAGATAAAAGATTAAATTACTGTAAGTACGCAGTAACATCTTATCTATATTTCGGCATTATTATTATTATTATTAACAACTCGTAAAGATGAAGCGACAAACACTTGGAGGTTGGCTGTCTTCTGGGATGTAGGGCAGTGAGAACTTCATAGCCTACGCTGCACGTAAGTAAAAAGCCACCCATCCCTTGGCATCCCCGGAATTTAACGTGCCTTTACGTTTTCATAAACATAATTCTGATTTGTTCTACTTTTATCAAGTATCCGAACTGTTCCTCCTTGTCCTTTGCTTATCGCCACTGGTCCATATCAACACGGGGCCCACATCACGTAGTCGCTAATTTAAGTGCAAAGTTTTCAGATGGTCAGGCAAGAAACTGAAAATATCGTTGCGTGATGTGTTCTGCAATCACTTGTCATCAACTTGTTTCAAAGAAGTGAAATGCTCGCTCTTTGTTAACGACGTCTAGCGCACCAATAGCTTGCCTTCTCGTGGTACGAGCTTTGTCTATTGTCTGCAGATTTGCTTTTACGAGAAGCAGACAATGAGCCGGTCGTATTCATTACTGGGAATTCGCACGCATTCAGGGAAACCGCGTTTTCCTATCAGAATTTTAAACAACGTCCCACCCACGTCACCCATAAAAAATGAAGGGTTCAGTTTTTATGTTAAAAAAGCTTTCTGGTCGAAAGTCGAACAATCCGGTGCCCAATTCCGATATTTTGTATGCCACCCGGACGCCTATGCAGCAGTCCACATAACTCGTTCTGGCTCAGTATATCTGTAAAACCTCACGAAGTACTGAATAATTCCAGTTAGCAAAATAGTAAAAATATTTATCGACAGCTTTCACAGTCACACGTCTGAGAAGTGTATTTATACGTACAAAATAATTTAATTCATCCTCTGAAGCAGAAGCTGGTTTAAATATTAAAGAATTCCGTCCGTACCGCGAAGAAAACACAACGCGTCACCATTGCAAAGGCTGATTCGTTGATGCTGTTTAGGGAAAATCGCGCAAGAGGTCACGTGACTATGTCGCTTGGAAACAATGGCGACAGGTGGAATGATAATTTTGTTGTGGCGGTGACGTAATCTTTCGTCTTCCACAAGAGGAAGTTTTAACTGCTCCGAAAATACTCATATCAGGCAAGAAACTGTCGTCTCAATAATTTATTTTACGGTGGATAAGACAAGAAGGCTAGGATGGGGTAACTTGTAGCACGCATGGGGGAGATCATTTAATCCAGTCCAGACGAACACAAACTTTTTACTTTCATTATTTAGATCGACTTTATTCGAACAGAAAAGTTGGCAAAGTCTCGACAGACGATCATTTGAGAAGGAGGTCACTTCAAACCGGCGTCGCATCGCTGCTGAGATGCCGTACGAACGCCGTCGTTTTGTTCTGTTATCATCAGCGACGTCGATGCGTCAAGGCCAGGATATTCAAATCACCCCGAAAGGGAAGTGAGTGATCTTTCCTTTCACTTTTGTGCACGGCAACCATTTTTGCCTTCACGTGTTTAGCAAATCGAGGCACGAAACATTTCATGGCTCCTGAACCGTCGGACCTTCATTAACAAAAGTTATTCGGCGTCTCTGATTTTCGATTCGTGTCTTCAGCCTTGGCATCACGGAGGCCGAGGTTAAATTCTCATCCACCACCTGCCACGAAGCCTCTACATCACGAACCGCCCCATCCCTTATAACTCTCACGTACATTTTACTGTCACATGGACGCAAACTGAGGTAACAGTAGAGTGGCGGGGGGGCAAACGAATCTTTTTTGGAAACTTAAAAGTTGCCTCTTTACACCGCTTGTTCCGAGTCTTCGGGTTGCAAATTTGTGAAATTTCTTGACCAGCTGAGCGACTATCACGGTGTGGTGGCGAAGGTCAGGGTGGTGAATTAATTTTAATTTTGTTAGACACGTGGATGGGGTCGGAGGAAATCTGCAGCAACCGCCTGACCTGCGTCAGAGCAAACATTTCCCAATTTCCTGTAATTTAGCACAGAGCTCGCGTGTGCAAACTGAAATTACAACCCCCGACGCCTGAACTAGATATTTGCGTGATTCTCCCTGCAGCTACTAGAATATCACCCCCGAACGGGGTTAAGAAGTCACAGAGGGAGGGAGACAGAGAGATAAAAGGACGCATTACGCGTCACAACCCTGACTGAGCGTGTCTAGACGCACAGATCGGACAGCGTCGGCGTCTGCGTGCAGAAATGATTTCTTCACATCCACACACGAAATTCTTCAGAAAATTACAGTCGCCGAGAAATTTCACGCATATAGAAGGTTCATTGCCGTGTTCACAAGGGCCCGCCACCGGTCCGTATCCTGAGCCAGATGAATCCCCTCGCTATCTTCTTAACGTTCATTTTAATATTATACACCCAACTGCGCCTTCGTACGAACGCCGTCGTTTTGTTCTGTTATCATCAGCGACGTCGATGCGTCAAGGCCAGGATATTCAAATCACCCCGAAAGGGAAGTGAGTGATCTTTCCTTTCACTTTTGTGCACGGCAACCATTTTTGCCTTCACGTGTTTAGCAAATCGAGGCACGAAACATTTCATGGCTCCTGAACCGTCGGACCTTCATTAACAAAAGTTATTCGGCGTCTCTGATTTTCGATTCGTGTCTTCAGCCTTGGCATCACGGAGGCCGAGGTTAAATTCTCATCCACCACCTGCCACGAAGCCTCTACATCACGAACCGCCCCATCCCTTATAACTCTCACGTACATTTTACTGTCACATGGACGCAAACTGAGGTAACAGTAGAGTGGCGGGGGGGCAAACGAATCTTTTTTGGAAACTTAAAAGTTGCCTCTTTACACCGCTTGTTCCGAGTCTTCGGGTTGCAAATTTGTGAAATTTCTTGACCAGCTGAGCGACTATCACGGTGTGGTGGCGAAGGTCAGGGTGGTGAATTAATTTTAATTTTGTTAGACACGTGGATGGGGTCGGAGGAAATCTGCAGCAACCGCCTGACCTGCGTCAGAGCAAACATTTCCCAATTTCCTGTAATTTAGCACAGAGCTCGCGTGTGCAAACTGAAATTACAACCCCCGACGCCTGAACTAGATATTTGCGTGATTCTCCCTGCAGCTACTAGAATATCACCCCCGAACGGGGTTAAGAAGTCACAGAGGGAGGGAGACAGAGAGATAAAAGGACGCATTACGCGTCACAACCCTGACTGAGCGTGTCTAGACGCACAGATCGGACAGCGTCGGCGTCTGCGTGCAGAAATGATTTCTTCACATCCACACACGAAATTCTTCAGAAAATTACAGTCGCCGAGAAATTTCACGCATATAGAAGGTTCATTGCCGTGTTCACAAGGGCCCGCCACCGGTCCGTATCCTGAGCCAGATGAATCCCCTCGCTATCTTCTTAACGTTCATTTTAATATTATACACCCAACTGCGCCTT